GGTACATAATTTTCTATGGCTAGGGCTCGTGTTGATCGCGTGGCTTTTCTGGTTCAACAAGAAAGTCGAAAGAGAGACTCGAAGCATAGTGCTTCAGTATGTGACTAAAGTGTTAGTTTGTTTACTTGTGGTTGTTGTCATCTGGCTCATTAGAACCTTACTTGTTAAAGTTCTTGGTTCTTCTTTCCATATGAGTACTTACTTTGATCAGATTCAAGAATCGTTGTTTACTCAATACGTGATTGAGACTCTTTCGGGACCTCCTCGAGTTGAGATTCATATAGAAGATGAGAAAGTAGCGAACGATGTAAAGACCTTACAGATGGCTGGAGCTAAGTTATCTCCTCTTGGTCCAATGGCGGTTTCTCCTTCGCCAAAAGTAACCGTTGGAGGTGGAAGGTTGCAGAAGAGTCCGACCAGAACCGGGAAAGTCCAGTGCTTTTGCGGTCTGGTTCCAAGAAAGACGGAGAGAACGAAGGAATAAGAATCGATCATTTGCAGAGAATGAACACTAAAAACGTTTCGGCTTGGAAAATGAAGAGACTGATGAATGTCATAAGAAAAGGAACTCTTTCTACATTGGATGAACAGATACAAGACACGACGACTCAAGAAGATGATAGAGTCACATAGATACGAAGTGAATTCAATGCAAAACTCGCAGCGAGGAAGATTTTTCAGAATGTTGCTGAGCCTGGATCAAGGTACATATATTATGACTTTATGAAACCACTTGGATTAGATGTTTCATAAGATCAAGATTTAAAAACTGAGGCTTTTTTTTGGGGTTTAGGTACATATATATCGAAGAATTTATATGTTTTCTGTCTGAAAATGAACTTGAAAGAGCAATGAGTCTCTTTGAAGGAGCATCCGAGAGTCACAAAACCAGCAAATCTTGTCTGAAGAATTGGGTGATAAGTATTTTTTCTTAAATTCAAATCTCAAAGAACTTTCTTTCGTATGCTAAATTCTTGAAATCTTTAGGTTAATGTATTTAGAGAACGAAGAGCACTAGCTTTAACTTTAAACGATTCAAAGACAGCGGTGAACAGGCTTCATCGAATCGTCGATGTTTTGGTTAGCATTGTGATCATAATCTTCTGGCTTCTCATCCTTGGAATCGCTACAACCAAGTTCTTGCTTGTCATTAGTTCTCACTTCTCAGCTTCTTCTTGTAGTCTTTGTATTGTTTGGAAATTCATGCAAAACCATCTTCGAAGCTGTCATTTTCGTCTTCGTTATGCATCCATTTGATGTAGGTGATCGGTGTGAAATAGACGGTGTCCAGGTTTGTCTCTTCAAAATCTGTTTCTGCATTTACGTAACTCAACACTTCAAAACAAAGAGCTAATCCTCTGTTTTTGCTTTTGTATGTGTACGTAGATGGTTGTGGAAGAGGTGAATATTTTGACTACCGTCTTTCTTCGATTCGATAAATAAAAAGAGATCGTATACCCGAACAAACTTCTCGGCACAAAGGCGATTGGTAACTATTACGGCAGTCCCGATATGTAAGATACCATTGAGTTATTTTTCCATATGACAACTCTTCCTGAAAAGATAACCGCTTTGAAATAGAGGATACTCAGGTTAGAAGCGAAAACCATCAACTCTAAATCCTAAACCGTGAAAAAGAACATCAGAGTACTATTAATCGTATTCTATGGTTTTTGTTTTATGCAGCTATGTAGATAACAAGAAGGATCATTGGCATCCATCGACGATGTTGTGTTTAGAGATATGTGCGGATTAAACCGTGTGAAGATCAAGATATGGAAGAGAGACATGTGAGGAGAGGTCAATTACTAGATGATATTGGTAAATCTTTCCTTTCTGCACCGAAAAATAAGTGAGGATAATAATCGTTGGCAACACAGTAGCGATACCAATTGATCTTGTTTCGAATCGAAGGTAGACAATTAGGTGTTCTCGAATCCACAATAGCAGTCAGACTTCCAAATTCTATTACGATAACATGATAACAATTCTCTTAATTTAGATAAATCTCCTTCTTTGATTGTCTTTTGTCAATTTGGTTCCGAGTTAGCTTCAGTGAAGCCACCGTTGAACAAGTTTGAACTGCAAAACTTAAATCAAATAAATAGCCAAACCTGACTAGAAACTAAACGTAGATCTTCTACGAGGGAAAAACCTCATCTAAAAATTTTATCCAAAAAAACTAAACACCAAGCAAAGGAATCACAATAACTCATAAAATCCATACGGCGAATAACATCGCATCGTCTTCTAACTAAAAATTCCAGGACATCCTCTAGACTTCATGTCGAACGTAGAATCTACTAGTTTACAACCATCTCCCTCTCGCGATGCCGTCAAAAGTACCGGACATCGGAGAGGGAGTGAGTGGTTATAATCATGAAATAAAATCCTACGGCATTTGAATAATTTTTTTTTTGGTGTGTAAACTAGGGGGTGATCCGGGCTTTTACCACCCGACTAATTCTCCAAAAATGAGTGTAGCTGTCGAGTGGTCCACTCATCAGATTTTTTAATGAGCCGAAAACATGGTACCATTTCGACTGGCCAAATGGGAGTGATTAAATAATTTCGCGTTTGAAGGGAATTGAACCCTAACCTAGGCCCACATAGTAATTTATTCTTCATGTAGAAACCACTAGCCCAATACCACTTGGTTGGCATTTAAATATTTGATTCTATAAGCTATAGAAGATCAACAACAACCAACAGAAAATAAACTTGATAGATGAGTATTAGACTATTAGTTGACTAAACTCGAAAAGGGCTTCGTTAAGTCAAACGAATAAAATCGACGTCTTTACCTCAAACAAAAACTTCCCAAATCATATTTTAGTTTAGTGTTTGGTGGATTA